CCCTTACAGGGTCTAAAAAAACAAGACACAAAAAAAAAGGAAAAGACCCCTCTCCAGGTCCTCGGATGTAAAAGCACGTTATACATGTTACCGTAAAAAAAGGAATAATAATAATAAATAAATTAATTAAAATTTTAATAAAATTATAATAATAAGTAAATAAAATAATAATAGTAGAAAATAAAAACAAAAAACAAAAGAAATGAAAGAAAAACATTAGTAAACATGAAATAATTGTTTAAATCACAATGATAAGCCATAATAATACGAATAGATAAATAAATCAAAACAAAATATAAATAAATTTAATTTAGATAAATTTAAGGAAATCAAATTTAATAAAGACAAAGTTATTAGCAATAATAACAGGTGCAGAATCAGAACATATCACAATCTCAGTGGCAAACGTCAAAGCTGTGTGCGTGTAATACACGCTGGAGGTAGTAGTACTGAGCCCTTCCACGTAACTCTCTGCCTTTGCCGGGTAGTCAAAAGTCACTGGTGCCTCCGCTCCATCCCGAGGCAGCCTGGCCGGGTATCGCAGCGAGAACTTGATGCCGTGTTTCCGCATGGATTGTGTTACATCTCGAAAAGCATTTTGCTGTGACATCACTTCAGCAGTGTAGTCAGAAAAGATGAAGACCCTTTTGCCCTTAAATTCTAGCGACTGCTTTTTCCCACGACGCAAAATCAGCTCCTTTTCTTGGAAATTGTGGATGCATGCCAGAATAGTATGCAGCTTTTTACCGGCAGCTGGCTTGGGCTGAAGAGAGCGATGAGCTTGGTCAACTTTGATTGGGTGAGGAAAAAACTCTTTTCCAAGGAGTTGGGGAATCAGTTTATAAACAAAATCAGTAGGTTTACCTTCTTCTTCCCCTTCTTGTATTCCCACAATCTTTATGTTGTTTCTTCTTGAGCGAGCCTCCAAGTCCGAAACCTTAGCGCGGAGCTGTTTATTTTGTTTACTTAGTTCCGCATATTTGGCTTCCAGTTCCAGAATGTGCGCCTCAAAGTCAATAACTGCTAGCTCGTGATTAGCAACAATTAGCAATAATTGGTTCAGGTGTGTTTGATCAGGATTGGAGCTGAACTTTGCAGGAAGGTCGATTTCCAGGAACAGGGTTGAGCACCACTGCTTTACACAATTCTTTACACAATTCTTTACACAACGCGTAGACATCTGGTGTAATATCACACGTGCTGGGTAAGCTAGGTTTAGCACAAGCTCCGGTAGTTCGCTCGTCGCCATTCTTGCCTTTGCTAGAGACGGTTTCGGTATTTTTGAGTTCCGTCGTACTCTCAAGTTAATCGCAATAGGGCTCATTAACTTTTATTGCTAAAAAAAAAAAACTTGGCAAAATAGCAACTTTGTTGAGGACTTGGAGAGGAGCTCCAACCAAAAACGTCTATACCATATGCATGCGCACTAGCGCCCCCCCCTTTTCAATCTATTTTTAAGTATTCTTTTATTTTCAGAAAGATGAGTGTCCACCTTTTCTTCAGACAGCACAGACTTGCTTGATTTGACTGTCACCTGCCATTTCAGTGGATCTGAAAGAAGGAATTATCTGACTGAAATAGGCTTATGAAGGAATAATGTAACGGGGCTCTATTACATTTAACATTTTCTTAAAACCGGAAATTTCCATTTTCAATTAAGATCTCGCATATCCACATCTATAAATGTACCGATTGCCTCTGTGATTTGTTTTGCCCTGTTCGAATCTGTAGGACTGTAGGGATCTGTAGGGGGGAGACGCGCAATTTCCGGAGGATTATCAGTCGTTTGCGGGCACCTGAGAGACTCTTTATGCATTTCCGGGAGACTTGGGATGTCTAGGATTACATTAATGTTACTAGATATTTTGCGAGCTAGTGTAGCACGCGCCTGATTGGAGTAATGTTTAGAGGAGAGCGGGGGTGGTGATATGTAAACAGGTTATTGAGATTGACTGTTTTGTGTCAGTGTCCAGGGTTGCTGGAGCAATGGGGGTGGAGCCAGCTCGAGCAGGCTGCCACAGAAGCCAGCAAGATTGCTAATGAGTTGGAACAAGATTCTCAAAGTCAGGTTGGGAGATGGCTATGATGACTTTCACCTTGATATTTTAGTGCAGATGTATAACTGACCGGTGAGCCGTCTGACAAAAAAGTGCCCTTCTGAATCAAATCAGCAGTATGCCTGACTCTAACTGCAGTTTCACTTTAACTCATCAACATTTCATTCACGTGCTGGTGACAAACTGGGTTATTAGATGCAAATAAGGAGGGCTGGTGAGAGTTTTATAGAATTTAATAACGCACGTCAAATGGAAAAAAAAAAAACTTCTGCATTTCGCGGTGTGTGTGTGTGTGGTAGGGTAGGGTTAGGGGTGGGGTTAGGTGAGTGCATTAAAAAGCAGTGGATGCAGCTTAGATTGCACTACACCAGATCTGCATCCAGACACTTCTCAAAACAACTGCAAAAACAATTGAAGGATAAGGTAAATAAAGTAATACAAAAACATACAATGTTTTGATCCACCTTTATGCTAAATGAGCAGTTCATTTAATACATTAATCTGATTGGCAAATGCATTTAACCAGAAATACCTTTGACCAATGAAAAATCTTTGCCATTCCCCTACATCAGGGCTATTCAATTAGTTTATCATAGGGGCCGGTTCATGAAAAGCATCCCAAACGAAGGGCTGGAGACATATGACTTGCTATATGAGTGATGACACAACTATAAGAGCCCATATGCTGTATTTGTGCTTATAAAGACACCCACATTTGGCTTTTTCTACATTAAAATGTTAATATATTGTATTTTAAAAAAACTGCATTGTCCAATTGACTTTTTTTTTGTGTACAAAGATTCAAAATGTTGTATTACGCACAACAAAAGCAGTGCATTGTTGAAGTAGGCTTTTTCATTCAGACACATTCACATGTTATGTTTTGAACAGCATAACAATTAGTGATGCAACATTATAGATTTTGGTTGTAAGATATAGTCTGAAGAATAATCATGCTTTCACGGTTATCACGTCTAATTTAGAACAACAAGCTTTATATTAGAGAAGTAGCTATTTAGATTAACTGTTGTTATCATCTGGGTTTATGCATAGGGGAGAACGGGGTAATGTGAGACATTGGTTATGTGAGACACCCCCTGTATCTAGGCAACAGATTATATATATCACTTTATAACAATTTTTTTAAAGCACCTTCCATATCTCCTTTACCTTGAATAATAGGAATTCCTGGTGCTGTGGAAAGCATGTTTTTTCACAAAAATATGTTTTTTGAAAGTAAAAGTAATTTTTTTGCCATCAACTTAATCAACTGTTGTGGCAAAGCAAATTGATTTAAGGAGAAAAACATATGTCATACATGTTGATGAACTACCAACATATAAAACCATGTGAGGATGCTAGCTCAAGATTAGCCTAAATTGCTAAAAAATATATTTTTTTCTAAAATGTGGCGGTGTGGTAAAGTGAGACAAATGCTCTGGGGTAAAGTGAGACAGAAGGTACAAGTTAAATTTAGTTTACCAGACTGTAGGACTTGTGAATGATGCCTTCAAATCAACAGTGACACCATGCAACATCACTTCTGGATTTAGGTGTACTGGAATTTTTCCATTTAACTGAGAAATTTTCCTTGATAAAGCATTTGCTCTATTCATGGTGTCAGACTGGCCAAATCCTGAGCTCCAGCCTGCCACTATACAGAAGATTTGGATGATCTACCCCCTGCAGATGATCTACCTACAGATAGTTCACTAACTGATGCAGCTCATACTGAATTGAACAGACGCACGTCACTTCATAGCTATAGCGGCCGTTTTTCGACTTAACTAAATTTATTTTTATGTCTTGGTCACACAATTTGGAGGGCCAGAACAAATTGCCTCGGGGGCCGGGTTTGGCCCGTGGGCCGCCAATTGAATAGCCCAGCCCTATATTTTGCCACGCCTATTGTTTAAGCATCCAGATAGCCATAGAAACGTCAGAATGAGTGTTAGTTCCAGCATTCAACAGGTACAAACAAGAACCTGCTAATCAGTGATGTAAAAGAATGTTTGCGGGCGGGATGAAACCAATAGCATCTGGAAGCAGCCTTTATGATGCTGAGAATGCGTCTCTCAGCGATGCAATGTTCGACACAACGCACTCAATTGAGCTAGTGACATCATTATGAGGGGTAGGATTAGGGTTAGGTGAGCCTGTTATAAAGCAATGCATGAAGCTCAGATTGTACTGCACCAGGTCTGCATCCAAACCCCTCTCGATGAAACATCGAGACGTCTGACTTGCCGCAACAGTGTTATACATTCATTTTTTTTCAGCTAAGTCCCTTTATCAATTTGGGGTCGCCATAGCGGAATGAACTGTCAACTTATCCAGCACATGTTTTACGCAGTGGATGCCCTTCCAGCTGCAAACCATCATTGGGAAACACCCATACACTCTCATTCGCACATATACGGTCAATTTTAGCTTACCCAATTCACCTATACCACATATCTTTGAACTTGTTGGGGAAACCGGAGCACCCAAAGGAAACCCACACGAACACAGGGAGAACATGCAAACTCCACACAGAAATGATAACTGACCCAGCAGAGGCTCGAACCAGCAACCTTCTTGCTATCAGGTGATTGTGCTACCCACTGCGCAACCGTGTCGTCCAGTGTTATTTAATTTAATTTATAATATTATATTTTTTATATTTTGTTTTATTCATTTGTTTACTTTTTGTAAATAACAGCAATTGTACTTTTATTCTGTGGCGCAAACAGGAACTGTCGTAATAGATGCGTACGTCAGCAAGTACGTCTTCCGGGTGAGAGGACGTGACAGTTTCATTGTAAAGACTTTTTTGTACACAACTTTTATATTTCTTATATTTGTAATATTTGTAATAATTAATATATGATTATTTTTTTAAATATATAAATATATTTGCAAGTTGTCTTTTCAAGCGGACGAGAATTTGCGCCACCACTTCCGACGAGATTTTGCGGGACTTCCGGCAGCGTATGTATCCGTTCTAGCAACAACCCGTGACAGTTTCGATTTGTCTGTTAAACTTTTCGAAAACGTGAAGTAAAACAGATATTAAGTTAGATCGACAACATGATTCCCAGGTACAATTACGATGTTTGATTCTGTCAATACTGCCACAACCGCGATCCATAATCAGTGTAACGTTACCTCATATTATTGTTTCGTTCTCGTATTTGTGTTTGATTTAATATTAGCTGCAAGCATTAGCATTTTTAGTGTTTTGTTTGAGATGTTCAAGGTTTTTATCAGTAGTATAAGATATTTTTAACATATCTGGAGGTGAATTTATCATGTAACTTAGGCTACATGAGGAAAATGCAATGTGCAGTGTGATTTAGGGCCTTTAAAAAAAGTTGACAAAAATATATATGCAAGTATATATATATATATATATATATATATATATATATATATATATATATATATATATATATATATATATATATTATATATATATATATATTACGCTGAATTACACTACAAAGACAATACGGCGCGCATAGTCCCATTATTAATATTACAATTACACATTTTTAAAGGAAGTAAGGCAGTTCTTTTAATTTAAAGAACTGTTAAAACAGAAATATACTTTTAGATATAATAATCATATTAAAGTTAAAAAAAATTAGGATAGGGCTGTGTGATTTGGGGAAAATATTTAATTGCAATTTTTTTTCTGACAGATATTGTGATTTCGATTTGATTTGCGATTTAATTTTGTAGTCAAGCTTCAGCTCAATATTCTGTATCGTTGCTTCTTACTGCAAAAATGCAGTAAGTTTTAGTTAAAAAATAAAATGAACAGATATTACATAACTTTTAATAAGCCCTTTATTCAAATTTGTTCATAAATAACAAATTTGTTTGTAATTTGTTAAAAATAAAGACTATTTTTTGTTTTTAGAGAAAAGAGTAGTGAGTTATGGTGTTAGTTAACTCCTGGTGTCTTTGGCCGCCTGTGGTGCTTTTTTAGGTGCTGGTTGTTTTATTTTCTCATGCTGAGGCAACAGTTATGCGACAGTTCTTCCAAATGACCTGATTTTGTTTGGTGTTTGTGACTTTAAAACTGAAATATTCCCATATTACTGACGCGCTGGTTTTCTTTAATATAAATTCAACTATTAATGCTTCTGAAGTGGCAGACACCATCATCCCTCTTGTCCGCACTTTCCTGTTTGTTTTATTGTGGGCTTTCCGTGTTGATTGGTTGTGCAATTCTGATTAGCCAGAACAAAATTGTGCTAGTAAGACTGTCACACACAGACGACAGTCACGCATTTGTGAAGAAAATTTTATATATATATATATATATATATATATATATATATATATATATATATATATATATATAATGTATGTATTTCATATTGCAGCATCTTACGATTAGCTAATTGCAACATTTCAAATCGCGATTGTGATTTGATTTCGATTAATCGCACAGAGCATCTTTACCCATCTTGCACCTTGCTGTGAGGGGTCACAATAGATTAGTTCTTTGTTTAATGCACATCAACTCAAATCTATGTACTATTAACATCTCTACTGCTTAAGTGACAGGAAATTAAAGGACTCTGTTTTCTTTCAGATTCTACAGTCTGCTGTACTTCAACTTTGTGTTTGCACGGCTGATTAACAAAGGTAAACAATTTTATTCACATATAGGTTTTTTACAACGTTAATGGGTTTTTTTTTACAATAATGAAAAACTAAAATAAATAACACACCAATGTAGGGATATAGGCTCGATAATTATAAATATTTAAAAATATTATATTTTTTTGCATTGCAAGGTGATTATATAGACCTATATTCACCATTTCACATACATCAGCATGCAAAAAAAATCCTTTTCTTCATAGCTAATTAACATGCAACTTGACTGTTGCATAAAAATCATAGGTTAAATAACAAAATGTGATTTAATCAAAAAGGAAGTTAAATATATTTTAAATAAGATGAAGGGTGCTTTCACACCAAGATTTTTGTTTCGGAACCTCGTTTGCTCAGTTAGCACGGTTTGTTTGGCATATGTAAAACCACCAATTGCACTCGGATCCGCACCAAAACAATCGCCCTGAGATCACTTGAAAGAGGTGGTCTCAGCACGATTGAAACAAACTCTGGAGCGGAACGATTGTAGTGAGAAAGCAAACGATCCGAGCTCGGTTATATTACAGTGTTTTATGGATATCTAATAGGCATACGGCTATATGAAAAGAGAGTTATGAGTAGGGCGGGAGGTTATTCCAGACATCTCAAGTCTCCCGGAAGTTTCGTTAGTCTCCCGCAAATGCACAGAGACTCCAGGATGCCCGCAAACAAGTGATATTCTCCCGGTAATCATGCGTCTCCCTTCCGGTCCTCAAATACGTTGCGCACCCTTCTCACCCCTCCCCACCGCATCCCTCCTCGCTCCTCAGACACGTTGCGCGCACCCTGTCAAACACCACCAAACCACCATCCCCAACAGCTGAGCTGGACTATGCAAAATAAACCCTGAAACTGACCAATGTGAGGAAAGTTTACTCACACATTACTTGTTTTTGGTCCGTTTAGAAACTTTGCACTGTGAAAGTGAACCGAACCAAGAGCACAGAGCAACAATGTAACAATTTTAATCCCTGTTTCGGAATAACTGAATTGATTCAAGGCTCAAGGCTGTCCGATGTGTGTGCTCGCGCACGGTGACCGCTCTCACGCGCGCTCGTTATAATCAATATGAATATTCCGATCAAACTGAATACTATCTTACATCAACAACACATGGCAAGCACACGTTGATAATAACAAATAATCATATTAGATTACAAACAGCCTGACAAGTTCTTGTTTAGCACGTGTGCAGGGTCTGCAGTTTGGTGTGTGTGTGTGTGTGTGTGTGTGTGTGTGTGTGTGTGTGTGTGTGTGTGTCTGTGTGTCTGTGTGTGTGTCTGTGTGTGTGTCTGTGTATGTGTATGTGTGTGTGTGAAGCAAAGAGAGAGAGACAGAAAAGAGGAGTGTTTTTTTTCGCAATGAGACGAGTGATGTTCCCTCTTTGGTAATTGGGCCAAGTTACATGTGTTCTCGTACATTCACCGGCTGCAACTTAAAGAGAAGGGAGAACCCCGAAACTAATATTATTCGGCCGTGGAGTAATAAGTGAATCTCCCCTGCTATCTCTAACACAACAAAGATATCGGCCTAATTTAGACATCAAATCGATAACGATAATCTTAAAAATAGCATTTATCAGCCGATAATGATATGGCCGTCAATATATCTTGCATCCCTACACCAATGTGTTTTTTAGTTCAGAGTGAGCGAGCGACCCCAGTTCATTTTACACAGCAGGATTTTGAATCGCTGATAGGATCAGATATTTAGCATGCCAAATTAGAGATTTTCTCTAAATGCTTCTTTGATAGTTCACTTTGAGTGACTCTCCTGTAAAGCAGTATCAGTTTTGGCCATTTGTTGACAATTTCACAAAATATGTCATATGTGATTAAAGATTAGGGCTAAAGCTGTGCTGTATGAAGTCGGCAATGAATTTTTTGGTATGTCAGCCTAGCGATTGATTAGTGATATCACTGTCCAGAGCAAAATATGGCAGTAACGCACCAAAAAGCTAATTTAAATTATAAAAAAATATTAAAGAAGAAATCTCTGTAATACAGAGGTACGTTAGTTGGCTAGAATGAGCACACAGCTCTGTAAATGGCAGCAGAGATTGTCTTACTGAATGGAGATAAAAAGGTCTGTATTACTAACTAGGGGTGTAACGCTACATGTTTTTATCCAGAACCATGTTTTGTTGATATACTCTGATCTGATGGCGAATATAGTCAGTTCAGATGTGCCAGTCCAGTCAGTTAGGCAGGAAAGCAGTGCAACTACTGCAACATTCACAAAGAAAATACATCTTTGCCTTTTAAGGCCATGTCCACACGAACACTGTGATGCATGTTAAGGGCACAACACATACCAACAGGCGGCAATAAATGCTTTTATGCTGGTTTCAAACAAATGTAGAATTAATTATTTTTGTGTGAGTAAATTGCATACAATTTGATGCAAACGTGAGAACAGAGGATAACCATCCTGTGGTGTGAATGATGCAGAATACACAATGTTTTGCTGCAATCATGGTGAATTTGCTTCAATCACGTCTTCCATGTTTGGAGGGAACCCAGCCATGTTGTCCATTCAGAACTAGGCTTCGATTTGGATTTGACATCCATATCGCAGAGAGCTGCATTAACTTAAATATAATTTATCTGCCAAGCAATTGTGTTGCATGTAGAAGTTTTCCAAATCTGACCAATCAGAATGGTCCTTACTATTCTTATACCCACCTCCCATGCAGGTGATGCTCTGCTATTGGCTAGAGCAGGGATGTCAAACTCAATTCCTGGAGGGCCACAGCGCTGCACAGTGTAGTTCCAACCCTAATTAAACACACCTGATCAAACTAATTGAGTCCTTCCAGCTTGTTTGAAACCTAGAGTTAAGTGTGTTGGAGCATGGTTGGAACTAAACTGTGCAGGGCTGCGGCCCTCCAGGAATTGTGTTTGGCATCCCTGACTAACGTACACCTGGTGCCTCAGAGGTCAGAGCAGAGAGTGAAAATTAAAACAGAGGAAAAGAAAGCAGTGAAAAACTTGTGCCTAAAAAGAACTGTACATTTGAAATATGTCTGTAACAATGTTGATGGCAGAAGAAGGTGCAGAGCTGACAAACTTTGAAATAATTTTAATAATGACAAAACAAAGAGACGGCATCACCTCATGGGACAGCCACCAAACTGAAAGCAAAGCAAAACAAAATATAGTGTATCCAGGCCTGGTCATCTCTCGCCTTCCACTGTTGTCTATTCTTCTTTTTATATTCAGAGTTCTTCCATGTCACTCAAGACAGGTGGCGCATACAGGTGCTGGTCGTTAGCACTCACGTACCAGCCTCGTACCATTCTCATGACTCTCGGTCCAGCTTGACTCACTACAGTGTCAATATTTTGGCTTTAAGTGAGAAAACATGTCGCAAACACAACAACATGTGTCACAAAACTGTGGTCACGTAGAAAAAACACAACTAATCTCCACAGTCATAAGCAACACAACCAGAGGGAGCTTTGTGCTAAAACATAAGTGCGCATGTTATGATTTAATGTTTACATGTTAATAGGAATTACTTTCAACCATGCTTTCAATCATCACGGTTGATAAAATATAAAGCCCTCACAACACTGCGTTTCTGTTGCATGGAACAAGACTATTGCAAAATGCACATAATCAAAGTTATGTCATTGATGCGACAGCTTAAAAAGAGAGGGGGGGTTATAAGAGACAGGCAGGCTATAACCAGCATTGCTTTTTGTATCAATGATAAACCGCTGTGAGTTTAACTGCAGGCGTTGCGTGGCACAAATGAATATTTTTAAGGTATGTCTTGAATATCTTTATTTGTGTTTTGAATTTGAATAAAATTGTTATATAAATGCCAAATTGTGTGTTTAAAATTTTGATGTAATTTCAGCATCTCTTCAGATCACAGTAGAGGGTTTTATTGGTCGGTCTGCTCTCCTGCCATGTTCCTCAACTGAAGATGCAAGCAAGCAAGACATTTATGTGCACTGGAGAGACAGTAGCAGTAAAAGCGTGTTTGACTTAATCAAGGGTGAAGCTTCAATTGAGCAGCAGGATCAGCAGTACAAGAACAGAACTGAATCTTTCCCTCAAGAATATCTAAGAAGAAACTTTTCCATCAAACTCAACAAACTTCGAGTCACTGATGCTGGAAAATACATCTGCTACATCTCACACTCATCTGAACAACCAGCTGTACGGCTGATCGTCAACGGTGTGTAAAAACCTCATCACAAACATATTATAAGTTTTATTTTAAATTGTCACTGTTGAAGTTTTAGTCTTAATGCTGATCTGTATAGATAGATCTGTTATCACTGCAGTAATGTTGTTGTATTTGTTTCAAAATATTACTATTATCATTTAAATAGATTTATTTGTATTGCAGCCTCTGTGGCAGAAAATGAAAACAAACCAATTAAAGAAGATGACAAAGGAGACAATACGGGATCAGATGGAGAAACTTCACATTGGCTCTTGGTTGTTATTACATTTGCTGTACTAGTAATTATAGGGGTAATCATTGTTTTATTGCGCTACAGAAAGAAAATACAATCTAGCTTCTCTCATGTCACGACTGAAAACTCAGACGACATCGACAAATGAAAAGCAGGTAAACTTTTACATTCCTTTTATTTCACTGAATATTAACTGAATTGTCACATATTTAGCTCTTTTTGATGTAAAATCTACTGGGTCTTAAATCAAAGGAATGACTTATTTCTACATACTGGTCATTTGTACACTCTCTCAAGAAAACAGCATAGACCAAATGTAAATAAGTTACACTCTGCAGAGAAAAAATACTACAATTTGAATGCCTTCTTTTGAAATGATATGCCTGTCCAGTGTATATCAGTACGACATTATAGGTACATTGCTTTCATATACAGTTTTTAATGACCAAAGTTGTATTTATGATAATTTTTGTGGCATATAAAAGCAGCATCAGTAATAACAAACTCGGATAACGGTAGCTTTAACAACACTATCCCTAAGTGAAGAAGCTTTTTCAGAAAGGCAATTTACAAAGCAAGATATAACGCAGCCTTAAGTGTTTTTTAGGTACATTTCAGAATAAACCATTTTTTCAATCAGGTTCAGGTGACAATAAAATGTAACCACTGTGTCCTTTGTAACTCAGCTTGTTCAGTGTTTGTTGGTGTATCCCAGAGCACTTCTGATGCCTCATTGGCACTGACATAGTGACATTAGCCGCATTTCCAGTGCGATTTTATTGGGCTGTGCCAGTAGCCTGGGAGCATGAGAAGAGAGGTCTAAATCATGTAGCATTTCCACTGTCGGGCCAATGGCTTGCAATGCGGCACTCAAACCCCACCCCAAGAACATCCCCCAATTCAAACGTTACACAGTCCACCCAGTTCAGTGGGAATCAGGCAGATAAACCACACCATCGCGTCATAACAAAACAATTAAAATAGAGACAAATGAAACAAACAAATTACATGTTGCTGTACAGAATTACATTACATTTCTATATGCACAGGCCCATGTATTTTCATTCATTATATTCTTTTACTCATCGACCGACTGTTGGCATCATACATTGAGTGGTCTCGCCACTAACGGAGGGATGACTCAGTGCACCATCCATAGTATAAAACCACAGAACTTTTCACAGAGACATATATATTCACATGTTCGTTTCTCAAACAAAAAAATGTAAAAACTAATTATTTGATAAAAGTACTGTTAAATATTTCAGAAAGGCATATCTCCACTGAATCTCCCCAAAAGCATAATTACGATTTAAAATATTAAACATCCTTCCAATAAAGCTCTACATTTAAAATTTCATTTTTTTCAGCACTGCACAGGACTGGATGACAGAAAAGAAGGTCGTGTACATTTTGTTCACCCAAAAATGCTGTTAGTGGGATTTTATTAATATCGTATCCAAATAATTTGTAAATAATATTTCACAACTGCTCTGTTGTTTGTTTTTGCGAAAAGATCAAAAATAATTTTTTCTGATAGACCTTTGTAAAATTAATGTTAAAAATGGCTTAAAATGGTAAAAAAAATTTGTATTGTATATACCTACATTGCTATAGCTTTAGTTTGTTTTATATTGGTTTATTTAATGAGTTTTATTATATACAATATTTGTAATTCTTTAAATGTTTTAAAACTTTAAAAACCCAACCGCTCGCAACATCAACAGAGCTGGGAAGTGAGCAATCTTTCACCTTGTCTCTCACACACATACTGTACATGCATCTAAATACGCATGTTTCATGCACAAACACACTTTTTAAGCTTGACAAAAACTCTTGACAATTGAGTTACTGACTACTGTGTCTTTAATGTGGTGTAGCCTAAAGATTATCATGCATTATTGAAAGATCAAAGAGGATGCAGCAAAGAAATATTACTTATTAAATTAAAACTAGGGTACTATTTTATGCAACACCCTTACATTTTAAAAGGGAAACATAAGGGCAGTCTTAAGCAAAAAAAAGACCCCTAGCCTATAATATGTTTTATGAAATTAAGCTTGCCAGCTATTTGTTTTTTTCCCCCCTTATTTATTTTATTTTACTTTTTTTTTTGGGACATCAACTCGTGTGCAATTAGAAAACTAGTGTTCCATCTTTACGAGACTCGGGCAAACTCCACCTCTGCTTTCACTTTGCCTCAAAGCCCCAGCTAGCCCTCTTTGGCCCAAGCCATTCAGAGGGCCAAAAAAGTCCAGCCGCTGGCCCTAAGGAAGCCCCGATTTGGCTCGATCAGACCCCAGAAGTGACTGTGTGCACACTCGCTTTAGGCGCGACACTGGAAATGCAGCAATTGTAATATCTCCAGAAATTACAACAGAAATAGTGACTGCTGCTTCTCACTCAGGTTGATGTCTATGCTAACAGAGTAGAGATCATCATATATTTATAGGTATTTATTCTCCACAATGATATCAGTGTTGGGAGAAATTTAAATGGTGATTAGCCTTTCTTTCATTTTCATGTTTCTTCTGTTTATGGCCTTCTCAACTAAAACAAAACTACTAGCTGCCCACTACATTAAGGTATTTGCATATGGAGATTTAATTAGCTACGCAAGTGTCAGTGCAGTGACACCACAAATCAAAAATTCTTTTCAGCAAAGCCTGATAAAAAATTTATGTGATGATCATTGTGGTTTCATTTGTTGTATATTAGTAATTATATTAGTAATATTTTTGTACAAAGGTTTATCATGCATACACAGATTGCATCGGCCATTTTGTGCCTAGACATTAGTGAATGAGGCCTTAGTGGAAAAGTGGAAAGGAGGAATGAGCTGCCTGTTACTGCCTTAATTCGGTACATTAGGGCTGTACAACATTTTTTTCCTCATAAATATTAACATGTACATCTGCAATATAGTCACATCAAAGAATGTGCAATGTCAAGTAGGGATTATAGTTCAGATTGTGGGAAGTTTAAACATAATGGAGTGAAAGTTTCATCATTTGCATGTGTTTTAAGGCCTGTAACCATGTAAGCATTTCAGAGTCAAAAGCTTTCATGTGTGAGAATAATGATGTTTGATTATTGTTGTGGAGGGCTATTTAACATTTGATTATTACATTTCTGTTCATGTGTACTGATAGACTCAGCTCAAAAATGTAAAGCACTGTTCATTTCATTTGTGTCTTGTTGTATTACAATTAACTTTTTATTGCAGGAAAACAAAGCATCAATTTTTCCAATATTGTGCAGCCCTGTTCTGAACCACAAGTGTCCTTTTTTTGCATTTGTTCATATTAAATGTATTTTGTATAATTTTTTTGACAGAATTGTAATCATTCAACAAATCAGACTCAAACAGAAAACCTTTATTTATTTATTTATTTTATTTTATTTTTTTTTGTGCAAGATATGCACAAGAAAAATTCTTTGTTTTAAAATCCTCATTGTTGCCCTGCATGTTTAGGAACTCAACTTGCTTAGAAAATGTGCAGATCTTTATTTGCTTGATTACAGTATAATTGACTTTTAAACTAACTTCAAGTTATATACAAGCTTCCAGATAATGTAAATGGTGATGTTTTTAACTATAGAGAATGCAAATAAATAAAGTGTCAATTCCAAGTAAAGTCAAAATTCTGACTTTGTATCTTCCAATTCTGAGAAAAAAACTCAAAATTCTGTCTTTTTTATCACAACTGTAAGATGTAAACTGAAAATTGTTATTAAAATGTAAATTTATCAAGTGAATAAAGTACAAGTTATAATGTCAGAATTGTGAGATAAGTTGCAATTGAGTTAAAGTCTTGAGTTCTGAATGATAATTCTAAGATATGAAGTCCAATTTCTGAAATTTAAACTTTTTATCTCTGTATTCTGACTTTATGGGCGTACTCACACTATGTACAGTTGCCTGGAGCCGAGCCGAAGCACGCTTGTCCCCTCTCCCATATCCCCAGACGGCCCGCAACCACCTTGCATTTATTAAACAGTAAGAATGATTAGTAAATCCATATGAAACAGTCCCTTAAAAGTCGCATCTCATCTTCAGTTTCAGGCTCAGGCGCGTTTTGCACTCACACACAAGCGTACCGCGCACTGAGCCCAAGTGAACCACGCTCTGGCACACCTCTTCCAACCAGGCCAGGGCCGGCCAAGTGAACAGTGTCTGAGCCCGATTCAGAGCACTCACACTTCTTAAACGATCCAAGAAACAGACCTGGGCACGGTTCGGATAGCATAGTGTGAATACGCCCTATGACTTGCAATTTCAAGTTTACATTTCACAGTTTTGAAAAAAAGGTCAGAAGTGCAGTAACAGTGCTTATACATTTAGCCTGGCTTCCAGACAATCAAAATGTTTGACAGTATGTGACCTGTGGTGTATCTCTCTTGAAAACTAGATGCTGTCTGCAAGCAGTGGAGGCTGCCAACAAAACTGCTATGGCCTCTACAAATTTTGTAGGGTAGGTTACTGTAATTTTGATCTGATTTGCTCTGCAGTGTACATGATTCTGCAAGAATGGAAAGCAGTGCATTTATCAACAGCTCATCTTGCTTGATATGCTTAAAGTGACTCTTAAATAAAGATGGGTGGGGAAGACCATCATTGTTGCCTAATTACAGTTGAATAAGTGTGTGCGTCACAACTTTGCTATTCGGACATAGCACTCGAAAGCTGTAAAAATGTCTTCTGTGTAAAGCTCTGCTTTCAAAGATCAACAAACAAGTCAGAACAATATTGGGTATGAAAAGATTAAATTCAAAGTTGCCCATCAAATTACTACACTGCAAAAAATGCTTTTCTTAGATTTTTTGTCTTGTTTCTAGTCTAAATATCTTAAATCACGAAAAATTTTCTAGACAAGCAGAACATATTGTCTTGTTTTAAGACAAAAAAATCAAAGTGAGAAAAGCACTTTTTGCAGTGTAAGCATACGCATCAGAGCTCTATTAATTCTATTCCACTATCAAGGGTAACCTTTTGGTGGGCGTGGTGGATAAGAGAAAGTTTCAGTCACATCATTCTCGCTCGAGGAAATGTCTAGAGTAAAGCTGTACAGGTCGCTTATCATATGAGAAGCACTTCTCACAAAACAGACGCTTTAAACACATTAATACTTCTGTACAAATGTTTATTACTAACTTTTCTATTACCAGGATTTGATTACAACTGCAGATGAATGACAGCGCGAAATAGCCTACTGTAACATCTGCAATCATATTAAATGAATGAATTAACATATATAAACACACACAGCCCTTTACAGTCTCCGATATGTTACAAACTACAGACGAACTACACACAGCAGACATTTCGTCCTCATTTGGGTTCAAAACAACACAAAGTATAGCCTACATTCTGTGAAAACCTCTTATCTTTGTAATCTTTAGCAGCATGTAAAGCCTCTGTTAGAGAGTCATTCCATCATTCTGAGTTTAAATTAGTCCAAAAGGTAATGATAAAAATCAAAACAAGGCAGTTTGTTCATGTTTGCTGAAGACATATTGTGCTTTTTCCCGGCTTCTTTTTTTCACGCTTCCCTCTAGCGTTTGTCAATTTCTGACTAGATCAGGTTTCAAAAGCACGTCAATAATCAAGCGTACGTTATTATCATCAGCTCAAGAAGTTTGTTATTTCAGATATAGACGTGCGGCGAGCGCAAGCAAGAAAGCGAAACCACTCGTGCTTTAGACTGGCTCGTAACAAAATCTGAGTCACAGAATAGATTCTGCTCTACTCCATGGCTTTGTGGCTGTTCATTAAGACGAAGACAAGGTTTGTTTGAGCCTGGATCGACCATGGCTCATTATTATATGTATATATAATTCCGCTGTGATCTCTCGGCTGTGCGTTTATTTTAAACATGGCGGGTCTTTTGTTTTCACTCTGGCTTGTTGGGTAAGCGAATGACGTATCTCTGTAAACCAATAGCGTTCAGCGTCACGTCTAGCTCCACCTTTTGGTACCCTTTCTCGTTTTTGGGACCCTTTCGAAAGGGTACCAGGTTAAATATTTTGAAACCTAAAAAGGAACCACTGTTATATATTAACCGTAATTAAGCCTTTGAATGTCACTTTAAGCTGAATACTAGTATCCTAAAAAATATCTAGTAAAATATTATGTGCCGTCATCATAGCAAAGATAAAAGAAAACAGTTATTAGAAATGAGTTATTAAATCTGCTTAAACCAAGTGGCAACCTCCCGCTCTCACTCGGTAGGCCAATACGGAAGTAAATGAAACTGCAATTCTTCGAAAATCCGCTAGTCCTGGCTCTATAATAGAGCAAATTTCAATTGAGCCCACTGTTAGAATGGCCAACTTTACAGCAGAAAAAAAAGGTGTTTACAGACTGGTACAAAGAAAATTTTTGGTTCAAAAAGCTAATATTACTCTTCATAACAACTGTGAGGGGGGTGAATTTTTTTTTATAACTCATCAGTTTCCTTTATATTAGGTCTGCATAATTAAGGGCGTGGCCACTTGATTAACAGCCGTCACTTCACCTCAGCTGACTCCGGCAGATTAGCCACTGATATCGGCATATTCATCACATTTTTGTTTTGTTTTCTGTGGCTTTACAAAGTCAGTTGCCTTTTGGGATTATTTCATACAATTATCAGATGATATGGGATGCTGTGTGCACTTAATTGTGCTCACAAACCATTCACGTGGCCTCCGTTTCCCATGTGAGTAAAGTTATATACTTGTAAACCATCTCTATTAATGTATTTGTTTTATTTAAGATCATTTAGCATTTATAATGTTCTTTAGAGCTGTAATGCACAGTATCGCATCACATTGATTAGCTGTAGGGTCTAGAACAGTCATCTGAAGTGTTATCATACAGTGTTATGCTGGATTTCATCAATAGTCTTGCATTTGCTAACACAGACTATATCTGAAGTGTTTGGAAGTAATTCGCGTTTTTCTCCTGTTGAAAAACATCATAAGAACAATGTTTAGTAGCTCAATATATTATACACAGTGTTTTTAAAAGACTAAACACTTTATTGATATAGTGTACAGCCAAACACATGTGGTCAGAACACAAACGAGTCGCAGGTGATAAAGTATTAAGCTTTCTGCCAAAGTAAAGCGTGTTTGAACCAGGTCCAAGCAAAATGCCAGCAGTGTCTATAGCTCCGCTCACTCTCCGCCTCTTTGCCCTTGTTTGGTATCCTGCCGTGAGTGCGAACAAAATGGCGACGGTTGCGCCTCTTTTGCGCTCTTCAGAAACCTATGGGTAACATCACGGATACTACGTCCATATTTTTTACAGTCTATGGTTTAAACTCTGTTTTAAGCATCTTTACTGTAAGAAAAACACTTTAGCTACAAAAGTCCTTTAGTCAAGAGCAGTGAGTGATTTTGTCCTTTTGTTGTCATGAGAATATCGCGTGCTGTCACTTTAAGAATAGTGCAGCTCTGATATGGTTTCTCTTTCACGTGTCTTGTTTGAGAATCAAAACAAATGAGGGTGAATGTGAATATTCACTAAACACTGTGCTCTGACACAAATGTGCATGCATTTGACCATTAAAGCGCTCGCATTAAGATGGCGTTAGATGTGTGTGTGCTCTGCTGTCCGAGGCTAAGCGCACACACAACGGCACGTGCTCTTTCGCGCTTTTAAAAACATGAATGATACATATCCTGTGCTGCAAAAGTTACAGTAAAGTACAGAAAGGGGGCGGTATATGAAGCAATAATCGTTCATCTCGATTAATGGTTTTTCATAATCGTTAGGAGCCAAATTTGAAATCGTAACTGTATTTTCAATTAATTGCACAGCCCTATCTTATGGTGTCTGATAAACAATTCCACAGACCAAGCATCCTGTCCTGTCTCCACAGTGCCTAACCAGGGCTCAGATGAATCACTGCACACATCTGTTTTAATAGCATGAACTGTTTTGGCTGTTTTATTGCTGTAGTGCCCTTTTTTCCATAGGTGTGACAGGTAGCATCTCTAGCTGGACACTGCCATTTCCCATGACCTGGGGCCTCATGTAGGAAGACTTGCGTTAAAATCATACTAAAACATTGCGTACGCACAAAGCTGTAAATGTGTGTACGCAGTAAAAAATTCAGATGTATGAAACACTGTGTATGCCGAGTCATACGCATATTTTTTTTGTACATCCGAATGAACATAAAACTGAGCCCACGTGCACGAGTGCAAAACCCCTCCCTGCCTCCTCTACGGTATGAATATGCTAATTACTATACTTTGGCAAAACCCAACGGAAAAGCAATGGCAAAAGCAAGCAAAAAGAGAAACTTTCAACAGAATGTAAATTGGAGGTGCTGCTTTCGGAGGTAGACCGGAGTTTGTCCTCCGGAATTACTTAACAAAAGAAAAAAATAGAGTTAGCTGATAGTTTAGCTGATGCGGTTTACACAGTTGGGTCTGAACATCACACTGATTGGATTAAAAAAAGAAATGTGCGATGTAAAGGTGTACAATTTTTTAAAGTCTGTAACAGCGTGAGTGGCTTAGCTTGTAAAACGCATGGCAACATGTTTTGACACGTTCAAGCATGAACTCGGTTCGAATCCAGCATCTGATGAAGACGTTCTTTTTTTCCCTGCTAAATATAAAATTTTGTCCACTTTTCATCACGAGGAAGACAAGAAGGAATCATTAATAAGTATGTGCATCATATATTATTTGCACATTTATTGAATGGAAATGTTTCTGATTCACGTATACAAATTCGTCTTCAGGTGGCATCTTTATAGCAATGAGTGTGCAGTCGATTGCTCCGATTACATTGGACAAACCGGCGACTGCTGCAAATTGTGCTTTAATGTTTGACTGGTCAGCTGCATGGTATGGAAACCTTATATACCTGCTAGACATGTGGATGAACCCGTCCCATACAGCTGCCATTGCACGGCTCAAAGATACGTTGTAGTATGCAATTTAACACATCTGCCTCTCGGAGTCGCCAATGGAATTAAAACAAACACACACAAGAACTAAGCGTACGCCAAGCATGAAGTTGGTGTGGACCAACACACATTCTCGCGTTCATTTCATCGTTAGTAAATCCAAACGTGAGCGTGAAACCTGGCGTACGCAAAGTTTTTGTGCGTACGCAGCGTTGATACATGAGGCCACAGGTGTTTTCTCCCCTTAAATCAATCTGCTGCTTTTTAATAACTTCTTATTGTCGTGCCATATTAGCAGCTTTCTCAAGAGTGAGCTCTTTGTCAAGTTGCATACGCTTAAATAATGTGCTGTCTCTTAGCCCAACTACTAATCTGTCTCTGAACAGTTCATTCTGAAGAGCACCATAGTTGCAGTTTTTAGCGAGAGCATACAGGGCTGTTATGTAACTATACACTGGCTCATTTGGCTGCAGCAATCTTTGATTTAGGGTGCTTTTGCACCTACACTTTTGTTATGGAACCTGTCTCATTTGCCCAGTTAGCACAGTTCGTTTGGCATATATACT